ACTAAAAAATATCCTGTAGATCAAAATACCTAAAATAAATAGCAAACTTTTTTATATTAAACAAATATTAAAGTGACGCTTTATGCCTTTGTGTTTGACTTTAATAAACTCGTACTTTATTTCCGAGGGAATAAAATAAGTGAAAAACCGATTTTAACTTTAAAAATAAACTGGATTTGAATGAACTGTGTCTTTTTAGTGATTTTTAACATAAACAAACTTGATGCCGATTTTTACTCAAAACTGCAATGAATAAACAGAATTTTTTTACAAATTTATCATTTTTTTCTATTATTATTAACTTAGTCTGTTGGGAGGCAAATTTTGTATGCGTCTCTGAAAGTCTGGGAATTAAAATGGTTGTTTATTTTCTTAATACATAAATGTTATTTTATACTGTCCCTAAATGAGCTATTACAGTATCAGAGTCGGTAAGAGTAACTTATCGGATTGTATTTTTGATACAATAAACCGTCAGATTAATTTTTTAGCGAATTTTTTTGAAACATTATGATACATACAGTACGATATACATTCGATATACTCATTTTGATATTCATTAAACATCTTATTCGTAATGTAATATCTCACTTACCGGACTTATCTTTATCTTTGATTTTACGCCAAAACTGCAAAGGAAAAATATTTTTTGCTTCACCTAAAACGAGCAAATCTGTAATTAAAACTTCATTATACTGATTCAGTGAAAACTTAATTTTCCCTTTGATTTTCGACATGTCCTATCACATTGGCAGTTTTATTTGACAACTATATGTCATTTTGACAATTCATTTATTAATTAAATAATGATAGTTCTTGTTAAAAATGACTTAGTTTCTTATCTTAAAGCTGTTTCTTTGAGTTGCTATTTATCAAAATTATGTTTTTCACAACCTTTTTTGTTATTTAACTTGCGAAAACTTATTTGTCAAAGTGACATCATTGTCAAAAAAATAAATCCACCAATGTGATGAGATTTAAAAAGCAGAGAAAATTAGAATAATGAAGTTTTAATTACATATTTGCCCGTTTCAGGTAAAACAAAAAAATATTTTTTTTTTCTCTTGTAAATTCAATCCGGGGAAAAACTGTATACAGGTATAAGTATGTCCTTGAAAAATTAGCACTTAATTTTGCAATGCATGAGGCCTCCATAGCTCAGGGGTTAGAGCACTGGTCTTGTAAACCAGGGGTCGAGAGTTCAATTCTCTCTGGGGGCAGGACATTACCTTGCTTTTTTTGCTCACAGCACCATTACATGTTTTTGCTACACTTTCTTCAATAATAAATTGGACTTTTTTAAAACATTAGAATTAAAATAAACACCAATTAAAGGAATTTTTGTATCTTTTGCGTTACTAAAGTAAAGAAACACTTACCTCCTACTCCCATGATTATAGGGCCTGCATAAGAGAGGTTATTTAAATGAAAACCTCTTGATTCATTTTTAACTCGTACTGTATGATTTCCTCTTACTTCCTGAGCAATAGAAAGATGATCTGCATAGTAGCCTAAAAGAGAAACACATTTGTGTACACAGTTACAGTTTTCGTTCTAATGAAATTGAATTATTTAATTGTTGATATTTCAGTTCTTATAATTTTTTTTTTCATGTCACAGTTGCAGTGTAATGTTTTAGAATTTGCAGTGTTGCGATGCATGGTTTCATTTTATTGATTTCACGCTGGACTATTATTCAGCGGATGTATGAATGAATGCTTTTACAGATCACATGAGAATGTAGAGATTCTATGTTAAGGAAATTAACAAAAACATGCATCATAATCTCTTTAGAAAAATAAGATTTACGCGTTTTAAATAATATTTTATTTTGTAGTAATTGTAGTTACCTATTGTGGCCATCGCTGCTCCTAAAACCATTAAAAGTAAGCCAAGACTCAACGCCTTGCAAGCATTCCAGAGACATTTCCCGTTCACTTTACCTCTGACCACTTGAACGTTCCATTGTGCTCCGGATGCAGGATGTGCCCGCCGGACTACTTCAGATGCACCGCCTCGAGCCCAACCGCTGCCCAAAAAGGCTCTTTGATGCATGTTCTGTTTTTCCAAAGGCGGAATGTCGCTCTAAAAAGATTTGTCTATCTAATTATTTTATTAGGACAATTGTAACTGTGATAAAATTTAACAAAAACACGTATCTAAATTTTATTTGATTTAATTTTGCGATTTGCTAAAATTTGAATTAGCCAATTAGAAAACTGAAATAAAATGAACACATTATTATTACAAGGGGTGTCTGTAAATGATTGTGACAAAAAATTGGCAACTGGCAACACTGAATTATTGATAATCCAACTTGTTGTTAGAGTATGTTTCAAGTGGTAGATAGACAGTGATAGAAAATGTCATTTTGAGAAAAAAAAGTTTAAATATTTTGTTTCTTTAAAAAGTTATAGGTAACAAAGAGTAACAATGAATTTTATACAAGTTAGTCGTGATGTAATAATAAAAACTATGACATTTATGAAAGAATTCCTTACTTCCAAGACTTATTTGACTGACGCTGTCAATGTAATAACAAACATACACATTATTCCGAAAACAATTTATTTGAGATAAAAAAAAATAATTGGAAAAAATTAAGAATATAGAAAACGATAAGAAAGATTAAAAAATGTTACTCTACCGAAAATACAGAGTGTTCCGTTTTTATTGTTACAAACTTAAACAGGTGATAGAATATTCAATTTTAAGACAAAAGTTTCCTATGAACATGTATCAAAAAATGTTACGTATGCGAACTACACCCCTTGAAAGAGATGCGTTTTTAAAGGGGTTTTTCCACTATTGCAGAATAGATAAAATTACAAGAGTTGGTACAGCTGATTACTTGTAAACACCTGAACGAATTTAAAGATTAGTTGTCGAAAGTTTTAATCACGGGTCTCTTAAACGGTGAAACAAATTTAATTTTTAATTTTTATCCTTTTATGGTCTGTAAGACAAATTATAAACTGATTTTACTCAAAAACGCTAAGTTTTATCGAAAAAACGCAAGAGACCTCTTTTTTGTGAAAAACTATGAAATTTAGAATTTTGTGGCTGAAAGTGGCAAAAACCAACCGCCAAAATAGTTACGGTACCTTTTACCCTAAATCCCCCAGTTTAGGACGCCCCTGAGTAAAAATTTCGACATTTTATCTTTGAATTCATTTAGGTGTATAAAGGTTATCAAATTATAAAATTATATAAAAATTAAAAAGTTAACAAATTTTGTAATTTTATCCACGATGGTTTCTGAAATATTGGAAAAAATCCATTAAAAGATGCACCCCTTTCAGGGGATGTGGCTCCCTTACATAACATTTTTCGATATATGTTTATAGGAAACGGAAACTTTTATCTTAAAATTGAATATTCTATCACCTGGTTAAATTTGTAATAATAAAAATGGAACACCCTGTATAAGGTTTTTAAATACTGAAACTAAAATTTTTGAAATAAGTAATGTTAGAGTTTAAATGTTAAAAAAATGTGTAATTTTAGAAAAAGAAAAAAGAATTAAGTCTGTTGTAATATTCTTTGTTTTCGATTTCTAATTGCAATTTTTAAAATTTTCAATCACACAATTATAATTTTCTAAATAGAGGTTTTATAAAGCGTATGGATTTAAAAAAAATATTGTATCCAAAATTATGCTTTGTGTGGAAAGTCATTATTGATAAGTGAAAGCAGAAACAGCTTGGTTTTGTTTCATTTTGTCTTGGGCACAGTAATAAAAAATTTTCAACTCACGGCTAAGATTTTTTCATAAAACAAACAATGTATTTCTGAATTAAAAAATTTCTAAGTTTTATGAACGCTAACAAAATAATAGAATCATCCAGGTGATAATTTTGGAACATAAATTTAAGTTTTGTAAGATTTTGGATGTCAATATTGGGACAAGGCTAATTTCATTAAGTTTTCTAATTAATATTGACTTTAGGAGAACGAGTTTTCCGTGACCATTATCATCAATCACATGACTTTAAATTGGGTCTTAAAATTTGAAGATAACCGTTGAAACAAAGTAATCAACGATATTACGCCGAACTTTACTCCGTGTCATATTTCTACGTGATGTGTAGCCAACCAACCCTTTGAGCAGTAAATCTTTAAAATTGATACATTTCCGGTTTTAAGAAATTTAAAATAGGTTGCAAAAAGAAAAGTTTATTTAAATAAATACTCACTTATTTTTACATCTACATGTGTATATTTTTCTAAATATTTATTTTAGAAGCTTTTTGAAGTTTTGTAGTAACAAAAATAAGAATAGACGTCAATTCTTCTGTCGCTATGCAAACTCTTAAAAAATTGCACTTTATAAAATCTGCCACTTACTCTTTTATGAATATTCTCTCTCAAGCCTTTATAATCATTATCTTAAACCCTGCGCATGGTTTTATGTTCTACACGGGATTGAGTAAACAAGATAACTATTTTCACTCTTCTTTATTTCCAAAAAATAAATTGATACAATTTCGTAAGTTTGAGTGTTAAGGGTTTAAAAGGAGGGGTAACATATGGATGGCTATGCATACAACACCATTTACCTGAAGCAGTGTATGTAGTGTCTAAATTAGATAGTTTGTCGTGAAAATTGTGTGCGTTGTCTCGTCCCACATCACAGCCCGCACTAATTATCCTAATCGCTATGTATGTATACGATAATGAGGTCGGTATCCGTTCAGCATCCCCGTGGACCACGGGCAACAGGTACAATCATGCGCGAGTCCACAGCCTTATCGACCGTCCCTCCAGGCTAAACAAACTCTGCCTTGAAAGACATGCGAGGGGCATTCATCCGTCGAGGCAATTTTCCGTCACAATCACCGCATGTAAAATATTTATGAGCCAATTTGGTCCCATTTATACGCCGCGCACGAGATCTCGCCCCGAAAGGGCCACATCACTGTAAGCGTCTGCATGAACACCCTGTTATTTGGGGCCGGATAGACACCTGGACCACAATAAGGCCGCGTCAACGACGCCGATCTGGTACATCGCTTGCGCCGCGACGCTGTCATGGTAACAGGAACAGCATCTCCAGGCACTCGACAGTCAGTGCAGGTAGCACGAGGTGATCAATGCAGCCGTGATGCGACGGCCCCATGGTCAACACAGGCCACGGGACCCAGCCGGACCCGTGGATGCTGGATCCGGAACTGAGATACCACATCCAGCACTGTCCCTGTCCGTGTAACCACATGGGATATGGAAATTTCTTAGATTACCAGGTAATTGTAACACTTGTATGTTTTCGGCGTTTACTGACCATTGAGATTACTGCAGCCAATTTTTCTTTCTGACTAAATTAAGGCAATGACGAGCAAATTTATTGTCATTCTCCAACTTTGATGACTGTTTTCTAAGTAAAATAGAACTTTAACGCACCAATCAGATTGTTTACGGAAAAAAGCGTAACTTTAGATTAGTTGTTATACCTAGTTTTGGATTTTATTAAGAAATAGCTGCTGTTTCCGTTTCCATATTATAAGTATCCAACTTTTATTCTGTTTCTTTGATAAAGAAATTGAATTTAAATTGTGTATGTAAGTAGTTAAGTAGTAAACTAGTGTTATTAGGTTTGTCAAGTGAAGTGTAATGAGCAAAAATATCAAGGCTTTTTTATTTCTTAGTTTTATATTAAATTTACCGAAAATATTATGTGAAAAAAGCTTTAATTAGTCAATGCAATCCTAACTACATATCTCCGATAATAGCTGTTAACCAAAAAATTAAGGTATTCTTATTGGCGGGCTGCTCTCAGTTAGTTCAGATTTACATATTTCTGTTATCAGAGAAATACAAGAATTTTATATTAAGTAAATTCGTGAGGCAAAAGTCCTTTAAAATCAAGCACCTAGATCAGTGGCGTAGCCAGAGTTATACAGGCTGCGCCATAACTCGCGCCCCCGGGGAAAAATTTCGAGTAAGATAAGATACCAGGAACATGGAAAAATGTTTAAAAAATTCTATCTGTCAAAAAATTTTGACATTTATTTTTTGACATTTGACATTTTTTTATATCTATTTAATGATACTGATGATCTTGTATATGTTTTTTTACAATTATTTAGTAAAGGGACAAAAATTTTGCCAATAAAAGCCACAAATAACATTGAACTGAGTTACAATTTAAGATACAGCTTCCTTGTTTCCTCTTATAATCGCCTATAGCAACAAAACTTGGAAAATTATTTTTCCAACAGAAATAAATAGAGTCAAAGTGCAAACTTTAAACCCTCATAACTTGGAAATTTTTATAGATAAATTTTTTTAACATTTTTTCCATGTTTCTGGTATCTTACCTTATATGGCATTTTTCTCTGGGGCGCGAATTCTGGCGCATCCTGTATTGTTCATTTAAAATAAATATTTTAAAAAAGTTTGTTGTTTGTTGTTTGTTGTTTGTTAGCTTTTAACAAAAGTATTTTGAAAGATTTAATAAAAAAATGGTGTGTGCTGAACAAGCCCATATAGTTTTGCTTTTTTAAAAATACCTTTGAAAACAAAGTCAAAATGCTTTAAAAAACAAAGTGTTTTAAAGGGGCCTTATTAGTAGTGAGGTCGTAACACGTGTTTTTTATACTATTTTTTCTATTGAGCGATTTTTAAATTGAATTTATTATTATATTTGACAGTAAAATTCTCTCAATGTTTTAATTCCATACATAAAGTTACACAAAAATTTTCAAAAATTAATTTCTTACATTTATGCAACGTTTTTGTACTTTTTTAAGTCTTTTGGACCCCCAAGAGTTGGAAAGCAAATTAAATTTTTTATCATATAAAAAAAGATAATCATTGTCCTACGTTAAATAGTTAGTTATAGAAAATTGCTGATAAAGTCAAAAATATCCAAAATATTATTTCAACTATAACTATAAGAATTTTGCAGTTTTCTAGACGCCAATCGATTTCTCGGAACATCTTGCTGATCCATGTTAATTCACTTTAAGATAGTGGTTGTAGGACAAATATTGTACTATTTTTGTATCGTAACTTCATATTACAGTCGGTCTTCGACTTTGCTTGACAATTATGTCATCTCACATTGCAGAATGGATATCTGTACCTCAGAGCAAAACAGAATTAACCACCAAAACCCAATTTTTTCTTTAAAACACTTTTAAAACTATAATTCTGTTTAAATGTATGTTATATTCATAATATTCTACTTAGACTTCCTCAAAAATTTATCAAATGGAAATAAAAGGGCTTTAACCTTCAGGTAATATACTGGCTGTTTAACATTTTGTATTTAATGCATTTAATTTAATGAAATATACTTCTAGACGATAGATACTATTTAACGGTATTCTAACAAAAATAAAATTACCTTTTTTATGAAAACCACTTTAAAATGATTAAATTTATTTCGATCAAGTTGCTTTTTTCATCCTATAAAAGCTCGAAAATTAAACATATCTAGATAAGTTTCGTGCTTATCACAACTTTCAACCCCACTAAATGTAAGAATTTAATACTAAAATTATGTCAGTATGTTTACCAAATAGTACATAAAATGTAAGTATATTTGTTGGCAAGAATTTTTTTAGAATCTACTTATGGCACGCAGGAAAAATATCAAGAATATGCTTGCTTAAAAAAATTGATTTTAAACTTGAAAACAGAGATTTTTAATAAGAAATAAAATCTGTTAACTATTGTAAATTTTGTTAACCATACTTTTTAATTCAACAAAATAATGCTTTAAGCACGTTTTGGTTACACCAAACATCCATAAAAGTGTCTTTAGATTACTTTATTTATAACGGTAGGGCTACTGTAATGCTCCTGAATGCTAAAGACTGGAAACCTGATACCTAAACTCCTTATGGGAGTACTTAATGCTGCTCAGACCTCATCAATTTTGTGTAGGTATAATATATGTAATACTAGAACAATATGTGCACCCCCGAAAACAATTTTCTAACGAAAAGAAATTCAATTTATATGAGAACCCCATCTTTATTTAGTTTTATCAAAAATGTCTTCACATACATTTATAATAACACAGCAACACGAGTTCTGCACCAGTTTGAAAAACTTTTAACGACCAGAGCTGTTTGAATATTTTTTTTTAAATTATTATGGGGAAGCTATTGACTGCTTTGCACTGAAACTTCCTTACTGTAGTTATAGAGAAGTATTTGAGTATCCTAGATGGTCGATAGGATAGCTTTAATGAATACAAAGGTTCAAACGAGGCATGTTTTACATACGACATTACATATTTACTGTCAATGTTGCATTCTATCAGTAAGATGGCATAACAGTCGTTAAGCATTAAGAGAACTCTTTTTTTTTAACTAATTAACATTTAAAGCTGCTGATTCGATTTTACGTGATTTAGGCCCGTTTTCGGGTACGATTAAACCTCAGTAAAAATTTAACTGTTCGATCGTTGCTAAATAGTGTTGATCTGATTGAAAGGAGTAATTAAGTTTTACAAAAATTGGTTTTATTTTTTCAATTTCATAAACTCGAGATGGCCAAATCAAATACATGTCAATAGTTTCAAAGAAGCTTTTTTACTGTCAGCAGATGGAAACGTCGATACCATTTTGGGTGAAAAAAATGAAGTGTCAGTTTGCGAACTCCGGTTGTTTTTCACGTTTATTATAAAATGCAGCCACTTTAAAGACCAAAACCAGGAAATGTCAGTTTAGTTTTAGTAAATTAACGTTGTTATCTTGCCACCTGAGATTTGTAAATAAATTGGTCCATCATAGTGCTTCAGGTGACAGGTCTCTGGAAAATACTATTAGTAACAAAATTACATGCAAACAAACATAAAACTGATTGTACTATTAAATTATGTATTTATGGTATGCACAGATGTTATCAAATGTGGACATTTGACTTCATTTATCCTTAACGAGATGGAGTTTTATGAAATTTTATGCATATTGTTTTCAAGGGTGAAAATGAAGACTTATGTGATCCTACGTAGAGATTATTTACCATCTTCTGAAACAAATCACATACTTACAAGCAAAAATTTTACTGTAATTATACTCAAACAGTTTTAAGTGGGTTGTTAACAAGGACATTCTAAACGGCAATGATTACAGAAATAAACAGAAGATAAAAGCAATTTTCAGCAAATGGGCTGTAAACAATTTATGGACATATAGAATTGACCCTTAAAGTATTGTTTTCGACGTCAGGATAAATGTTAAATATTGATGTTTACACAATGCAACCGTAAAGTAGCCTTAAAAACGTTCCAGAGAGCGTTTTATAAAGGCGAAACATTAGAACACTTCTTAGGGAATTGTAAGGAAAATAAATAAAAAGCAGCGATAAAAATATGTTCTTACCTCAATGCAAGCTGATGTTTTAGATAATATTTTTTAATTCTTTTATGTATAGCAACGCATTGTTTTTATTAAACTGATTAATTATAAGTTATTCCAATTTTTAAAAAAGTCGATAACAACGTCTGGAAAACTATACCTTTTTACTTGTATTTTAGGAAACGTAATACAGGATGCGCCAGAACTCGCGCCCCAGAGAAAATTTTCAAGTAAGATAAGATACCAGGAACATGAAAAAAATGTTATGGTTATGTTTTCAAATTGAGATGTTGTCAAAATTTTGACTTTTATGAATCTTGTGTGCCTGTTTGCTCTTTGAAAGAGCAAATAATTGAATACCTGAGGACAGACATCACTACCTCAGGTCCAAAGACAGAATTCAGTGCTAATAATTTTGATAGAAACACACCACAAGTAAGTACAATGTTATGGACAAAAATGAGGCTCTTGCTACAAAAACTTTGAAGAAAAAGGATGTTTATCTGCAAACGTCACAAAAGTGACCACTTTTATGACTAAATGACACAGGTTAAAGTTTTACTTTTCAGACATGGAGTAAAAACACTGTTTTTACGCCTAGGCGTTTTCACTTTTACTTGACACTTACTTTGACATTTACCACTGTTGTCTCTTTCTTGTCCCTTTCGCTTTTTCAGCATTTTCTGGAGAGGTACAAGGTAGATTATCAGCATTCGACATTTTGCACTATAAACTACACCAGTTATTCACCAGTTAAATCAATCAACACTTTCGAAATCTCAACACACATTCCGAAACTGACGCGTGACGTTTGTTATGATTTTATTGCAAAGCGTCCTGATTATTGAGGTGATTTACTTGATTATTGGTGTGTTGCTCTTTTCGTTCCATCTGAATCGTTTGCAGATAAAATAGTATATGTTATTTGGAGTAAAAGTGAGTTTATGTGGCTCAGCTGAATCCATTTGCCTCACTCCGTTCGGCAAAATGAACGTTCAGCTTCGCCACATAAACAATCACTTTTACTCCTAATAACATAATCTACTATTAAACGAAAAAAAGTTATTTAGCAAAAGATGCAAGTAGGTACATATTATGATAATTGGCAATAAATTTTGTGTAATTTATTGAAATTTAGTTTAGTTGTTACTTTTTCAACTCGTTCTTCAAAAACGATGCACAAGACACTAATTTAATTACGTTCTTTCCGAGGTTTTCTCATTCATGTTTATTTTGTGTTCTTGCCAAAAATTGAAAATGTTTAGCAAACCTACATTACAAATTGCGTCTACATTTGAACGGGCCCTTTTTCTAACTTCCTGCTTGCGAACTATTCGTTTTCAAATTTCTAAAAACGGTTAGCGGTACCGAATTTGTTTCTTTTTTGGTGTTTCGTCTCAACATTTTCTTACACGATTTTTTGTGTTGACGTTTAATGACATTGTTTTTAAATTAATTCAAAAAACCGGAACTGACAACTTCCTTTATTAAAATTACCATGAATGGATTTACTAGTGGTGCCAACGTTAAGACGGTTTGGCATTTCCATTTAAAAAAAAAACAGACTTTATATGTTTTTTTACAATTACTTAGTAAAGGTACAAAAATTTTGCCAATAAAAGCCACAAATAACATTAAACAGAATTACAATTTAGGATACAGTTTCCTTGTTTCCTTTTTTAATAGCGTATAGCAAAAAAACTTGGAAAATTATTTTTCCAACATAAATAAATAGAGTCAAAATACAAAATTGAAACCCTCATAACTTCGAATTTTTTATAGATAAAATGTTTTTAACATTTTTTTCTGTTGCACCTGTATTGTAAAATTTATTTTACTATTTTTGTACTTAATTGTTTTTAGTTGTAAATCCAAAGACAAGAAAATCTGAAAAAAGAGAATGTTTTTACTTATTTTTGTCTTGTAAACTTTTTTAATTATTATTTTGGTTTTTGAAATGAATCATTTGTAATTTTTCG